TGTAAGTGGGCAAACCTGCAAAATCAGCAAGGGGTCAAATACTTATTCCCCCACTGTAAGTCCAGTTTAGCATTCTCATGTTGATAAGCCCAGGCAGCAAATATTCAGAACGTTTGAGCTCTTTATGGTTCACAGATATGATCTTATTTTCACAAACACTGTGGAACCGCGGTAGAAATGCAGTTTGAGGGAAAACTGATCTCATTCCTGGCATGGAGGACCCCACAAACATATACAGTAGCTGCACTCAGTCAAACCCCCGATCTGATTTCTGGGCTGAGGCTCGGAGTATCAAACGTTCAGGGATGAACCACCTTATCTGAGCCCAGATTTATCACAGGCCGGCTTGAGCTTCGTCATTTCCCCCCCCGATACTTTGGGCCTAGAGATTTGCATTTTGTAGTCTGGATTACTGGCACACTGACAGAAAAACGAGTGTAGAACTTTTGTAACAGTCAATTTGCTCCCATCTCACGCTCCCAGACGTGTCACACCGAGAGCTTTTCATGTTTTTACTGCGAGTTTCTGTGTGAATCCGTCACTGAAATGAGGGCTTTTACGAGGCCTTCAAAACTAACATCCAAGCAAACTGTAACTAAGGTTGTCAAAAGTATCTATACTCGAAAAAGTATCGATACTAAAATGTTGTATCCGGACACGATACTCATTTTCAAAACTATCGATACCACCATCTCTGATTTATATGTATTTATTTACGTTGTTTATGATCATTAACAAGACGTTAGCCTTGCTAACTGAGGCTAATGGCTAATAATAACATGCTCCCATTAATCAAGTACATATCCAACTCCGCCCACATCCAAGTCGGCCATTTTGATTAGGTCACCAATAGGGAAATCCCAGGCAAGAAAATCCTAATTGCTTCATGGCAATATAGACATTAATTTAAAAATAGTTAAATGAATCTTTCAAACACTTCATTAAACTCTATCCATAATATTATGTTAAAATAGTGGATGTTAAATAGGTTTGTACAATAAGTCCTAAAAAATTAAACCAAAAAATATTTATTTCTGACAATTGTGAGGGCTGGAGGGTTAGGGTTAGGGTTAGGGTCATTAATGTGGGCCACCATAACATCAGTAACAGGTCAGTTTGAAATGAAAGACATTAACCTGTCAAAATTCAGTTACATTTTGGGGTCTTTGTTTTTATGCTTGTGGTATCGAAAATGGTATCGAGTATCGAGTATTTTTCTGAGTAGCCGTATCCAGTTGAACATTTTAGTATTGTGACAACCCTAACTGTAATAACTCGCTTTGCTAAGCTTCACCTGCTTTAGTTTATTGTTACGTTTACTTACGGGCTCCACAAACTCAAACTTCTTCTTTTCTTGCACTTCCTGTATTTTGAAAACGTACTCAAGGGAGGCGTCGTAAAAGAGTTGTCTCTCCTTGTCAATCTGCGTGTCGGCCTGGAGGTGGAGACACAAACATAACCCGGGTTAGAACCATTACAAACACAACCCGGGTTAGAGCATTACAAACACAACCCGGGTTAGAGCCATTATAAACACAAACCCGGGTTAGAGCCATTACAAACACAACCCGGGTTAAACACAAACCCGGGTTAGAGCCATTACAAAAACACAGACCCGGGTTAGAGCCGTTTAAAACACAAACCCGGGTTAGAGCCGTTACAAACACAACCCGGGTTAGAGCCTTTACAAACACAAACCCGGGTTAGAGTCATTACAAACACAAACCCGGTATAGAGCCATTACAAACACAACCCGGGTTAGAGCCGTTACAAACACAACCCGGGTTAGAGCCTTTACAGACACAACCCGGGTTAGAGCTATTACAAACACAACCCGGGTTAGAGCCATTACAAACACAACCCGGGTTAGAGCCACTACAAACACAACCGGGGTTAGAACCGTTACAAAAACACAAACCCGGGTTAGAGCCTTTACAGACACAACCCGGGTTAGAGCCTTTACAAACACAAACCCGGGTTAGAACCAAGGATCAAAGGCTTCTTACCTCCAGCAGATATCCCTCCTTCTTTTTGGACGACAGGTTGAGGTGTTTCTCCAGAGCCGAATAGTATTTCTCCGTCTCCTTATCGAACTTCTTCTTCCCGTCCTGAAAAAACACATCAAAGGCTCAGAAACGAGTGGAAACTGGGTCTCCTATTCCCGATTAAAGGAAGAGGCTGAGTCTCCACTAGGTGGAGGTCTAGCTACATTTCAAGTTTCTTGTTATTTAAAATTCTGTCAATAGATCACGGTAGGTCATGAAAGTGGTATTAGACACGTGTAATGACAAGCCAGCTCCGTTGGCACGGCGACGCGTTACCAGCAGGGCACCGGTGGAATATGCACAGCTATTTTCACGGTGCCCCAGCTAGGGGGCCGCCGGTTCAAAGGGAGAAATATGTAACAGTGTAAATCACAAAAAGCATAATGCATCTGGCACAGTCCCAGGCAGAAGCGGCCGGGCGCTGTTCGCATTCTCCGTTCTCGATATGCTCCAGAATCCACCTGCAGGGATAAGTCCCGCTCAACAGGAAAAGGGATTCAGAAGACGCTGAAAAAAAGGCACAGGAAATGGGCTTTCCATGCCCGATTCCCATCTACAGTTGGGGGAAATAAGGATTTGTCTCCCCTTGCTGATTTTGCAGGTTTACAAAGAATGCAACGATCTATAACTTTAATCATATGTACATTCTAACAGTGAGAGACAGAATCCCAAAGAAAATTCCAGAAAATCACATCATATGAATTTATAGAAATTGATAACCATCTGATGAGGAAAAATAAGCATTCTTTGTAAGTGGGCAAACCTGCAAAATCAGCAAGGGGTCAAATACTTATTTCCCCCGCTGTATACAACCATACAGACTTAGACATTGAGCATTACCCCCTCCCCAAAAAAGAAAAAAAAGATCAAATTTGCGGGGTTTAATCAAAAAGAGAGCGGGTTATTCCAGAGTCTGACCTCTCAATCAAGCTTTACACGCACGCATGTTTAGCAGACAAAATGGGGGATGGGGTGGGGGGGGGGGCGTGTGAGGAAAAAGGGCCACTGTAACCAGATCCTGCTTGTTTGTTTTCATTCCCATGGCCCTGAAATTTAGCGAGTCTAATCTAGCTGCTACTGATATGGCCCAGAACAGAACAGAGCTCTGCTCTAACAACTCCCTCCGCTGTTACACAGGAATGCAGGAACCTTCCTCAGACTATCAACCAAACCAATGGATCCGTCTTATTCCCGCCCCTTTTGTGTTTTTCTGATCCATGAATATATATTTAGCGGTGGGAGGGAATGAAAGGAACTCCTTAAACACAGTCTTTCTGCAAAAACAAAGAGTAAACAAGCAGGTGCAAAGGAAAATAAACATATGATTAAAAGTGACAACATGCCGACCAGAAACAGAGTTCCCGACGGGATTTTTTTTTTCATTACAAAGAACAAAGAGTGCATGATTTGCCATTGTGAGAGCTGCAGACGTGATATTATTCTGCAGGATTGTGCACAAGAGAAGCTCTGGGGAAAAACACCAACACTCTCCAGCGCTCACTTTGAATTAGGAGCTGTAGTTTTTAGTCCAGCGGGAGTCTCCCAGCCTGCTGACCAGTGTGAGCACGCTTTTAAAAAAAACTCTGACCAGTCTGGAGCTGCTCTTTCACTCGTCCAGAGATGTTGTGATGAAGTGTAACTCTGTGTTCTGATCCTAGCAGGACGTGTAGAAACGGGCAGAGCTGTAATGATACCCTAGCAGAAAATACCAGGTGCTCGGTGGTTTCTCCATGTTTGGAGTCTCTCCCCTCTCCCCCAGTTCCTTTTTTTAATTTGTATTTGTTTATTTGAGAGTCAAACTAAATCACTGACATTATCCACCACTTATTTTGACCTATGTATATACATATAGTTTTTTATGTCTATATCTATCTATATTATATGAGGAATTTTGTATATACAATGGGGTAAATAAGTATTTGACCCCTTGCTGATTTTGCAGGTTTGCCCACTTACAAAGAATGCAACGATCTATAACTTTAATCATATGTACATTCTAACAGTGAAAGACAGAATCCCAAAGAAAGTTCCAGAAAATCACATCATATGAATTTATAAAAATTGATAACCATCTGATGAGGAAAAATAAGCATTCTTTGTAAGTGGGCAAACCTGCAAAATCAGCAAGGGGTCAAATACTTATTTCCCCCACTGTACATCTATATAGATCTAGATGATATATACATGCATAAAGACCAGGTGCTCGGTGGTTTCTCCATGTTTGGAGTCTATCCCCTCTGCCCCAGTGCCTATTTTTTATTTATTTATTCGTTTATTTGATACTTGGGACAAGTGTGATTCATGAAACATGTCACACACTACAACATTTTAGCTAAGGCTAATTCTCAATGTCTGTCCCCAGTTAGGCTTTTACACAAAACACAGTGACTGTACACAAGGCACAACACAACAAATGACACACTAAAACATCACAGATACAAGATCAGGTCAGTTAAATTATTAATGTTCACATGTCTGACCTCTCAATCAAAAGTTTTTATGTTTATGTTTAACCCTTTAAAGCCCGATCCAAGAATAAAACAAAACAGAAAATTACTTTTTTTTGGTTTGAATTCCTTATTTGGCCTTTTAAGAAAATATGTAAAAAGAAAAAACAGAAATACATTTTTGATATTAATCATTTATTACTACGCGATAAGTCAAGATTATTTTCTGTGTAGTCTTCTGCCCCCTGTTATCAGGTGTATCTGATTGTGTACAATAGGATTTTGAGCAAAGTTTTTACCATTAAATTATGCAAAAGGTGTCAGACGCAAATCATTTGAGAAACCGTATCAAATATGATACATTTGGCATTATAGGGTTAATGTCCACATGTCTGACCTCTCAATAAAAGTCTTTATGTTTAAAAAGGACCCAGTTTGAGTCTCCCTTCAGTTCTGCAGGTGATGTATTCCATGTTTTGGTGCATTTTACAGTAAAAGCTGATTGTCTGGAGGAAGTTTAGCGTCTGTGTACTTGCCAGTTTCCACTGTGAGCTCCTCTATAGTTTGTGCAATCAGAGTAAAATATGAGCGGATGAAATTGCAAGAGCGTTATAGAAAATGGGTATAGCCTGGGCGGATATATCCCCCGAAGTACGCATTAGGTGTGTGTTTCCAACACAAATTAATGCCCGTGCCGGAGAGTGTTCAGAAAGCTGTAAAGAATGAATAACGTCAGAGCACTTTCCAAAAGTCGGCGGAGCTCACAACACACATAAACCTATCATTTGGGAGATTTCCTCCTCCGATTGCTTTGTTTGCACTCATGAATAAATCAGACGCAACAGGAGAGTATCCTCGTCTGCAGATTGCTTTGTGGAGCGGTTTCTGACTGGTGGAGACTCATATTGCTGTTAGCGGCGCTTTGATGGCAGCTTTAGGATGAGCTACTTTGCTAATTGCACGGAGAGAGACTATAAAAAAAAGAAAGAGATGAGACCAATCACAGGCAGCTTTTATCCACACGTCATGTGTCGGCTCCCCAAAAGGACCCTGACACCACACGGTGGAGATTGGGATTGGGGATGTATATCGCCCGGTTTGACACCGGCCCCGAGGAGCCCCAGGGCCATCAAAGCTGAGCCCCAATCGCCATGGCAACAGATGGAAGCCACAGGGAAGGCTGCAAGCCTCTTTATGCATGTATATATCATCTAGATCTATATAGAT